CCGCCAAATCACTCGGGGTCTAGATCAACGGAGGGAGAATATCTGCATGGTTTACAAGGTTGATGTAGAGGCCAGAAAGGCAAACAACCAAGGTTAAAGAGCTTCGAACTCGGAGGAGGAAGCAGAAGGAGTATCCGTGTTTCGAGTGATAGAACATGTCAGAAGAGCGAAAATGTTGAGCTTCGGTAAGCGTTAAGGTGATGCCAGTCCAATACTAGTCAGCTCACAGCTGGAACGGAGAAATGGTTAACATAAACGAACCTTTCCTCTGTATTTTTTGCCCTGCTTGAACTGCACTATGCCCATCCCCCGCCTCATTAACCCTCATTTCCTTCGAAGTCGGCATACGCAAAGCATTGAACGATAAACGAAGTCCAAACGACGTAGATGAATGCCATGGTGCGACAGAGTGAACGCCACAGATGAGTGTCGAATGGAGACATCGAGCGTGTCTCGAAGGTAACTGTATCCTGAACGAGTGAATTGGTCGCGTAGGACGATTGAGAGGGTAAGTCGGTGGCAGGCATAGTCCTACTTACATGCCATAGCATAGAGTCGGTGGATAGGTAGGCACATGGGAACCAAGACGTCCTGAGGGGGAAAAGGCAGTCAAACGTCGAAGCCAAGGAACAGAAAAAAAAGAAATCGAACGATTCAAGTCCCACAGTTGCGTCACAGTCGGCGTTTGGATGTTGATGGTAAAGGAATAAGTCGCAACTAACCTCGTGTCCGCCGCCGGCAACATGATCTGTTCACCGGCTGCTTCGGAGTGACGTCGTAACAAAGCTTTCGTCGTGCAATGGTATCGTGTGTAGAGAAAAGCAGGTACTGAGGATAGAAAATAGAGTAACAGGTCCAAGTTGCACAAAATCAGAGGGAAAACTGAATGTTCCGTTACAGGGAATCGAACCCTGGGCTATCGCGCGAGTTCACTCGGTTGGGACACATGAGAGGCGATAATGTTAGCCACTACACCATAACCGGAATGATTCTTGGTTCCGACGCGCAGGGGCTATCTTGTCTCCTCATATGCCTAATTGTATCCAATGTAGCAACACAGTACTTTCATACTTCATACCTCTACGACACCCATCATGAATAGCAATAAAGTGATCTCACATCCCGGTGCTCATCGTAGCGTAGCTCAAGGACGAACGAATAGAAGCCAGGGGGGGGGGGGGGGGGGGGGGGGGGGGGGGGGACGGTTCGGACCTGGAGAAGAATGCTCTAAGCAAAAAAGATACAAGTCGAACAACTCCCATCTTTCGCGAGGAATATACTCAGTAATTACCATCCAAAATGCTATAGCTCTGGTATCGAAAAACTGAACTGCTGATCAAAGTCCTGACGCTCAGCCAGCTTTTGAGGGTCTTCACTCCGATCTTAGCCTTATCGTCCCTACTGCGAGCCGAAGTGTAGATAACGCGTCGAAGCAACGGTAATACGAATAATCTCATGCTTTCAGATTAACGAGAAAGAATCAACCACGTCCAAATGTCATTTACCTCCCCTCGGTACATTAGACCACATAAAAAGACAGGTACGAGTGCCGACTCACACCTCCTCAAAAACAACACACGTTTCATATCGTTAACAATCATTCCAATGCGGGGAATCGAACCCCGAGCTGCTGTGGATACACAATTGAGATTCTTATGAAAGATAGCAATGTTAGCCACTACACCACATTGGATTGCAACGCCTAGACGCTGTCTAACGGGAAGAGCCGTCGTTATTCGATCAAACGCACCCACACCGTGGAGAAATAACATTTCCAGGTTCATGCCAATACAAGTGAAAAGACGTGAGGTGAATACCGACAATCCAGCCAAAAACGACAGCCACTGTCTTTGTCACACCTGCATCAAAAACGTGAACAAACACACTGAAACCAGTATTTCCAATGCTGGGAATCGAACCCGGGCGGCTGTGTACAGCACCGATTGGACAGCAATGTTAGCCACTTCACCACATTGAGACTGTCAACAACGGAGCTACGGGAGACCATAGTCACCCTTTTCTTCCGTGCGATAAAATGTTGAAATCCAGGATTTGGGACTATGGTAGAGGGCGAGTTAAGATTAGTCCCAAGGAGTGCAGAGTCACCTTAGCATGTCCTTAATCTCCCTTCGTGTTTCGAGATGTATATTTGAGCAGGTCGAGGACCTGTAGCTGATTGCCCGAGTAAATTTTCTTGAATACTCCAGCTTAACGATAATCCATCGTTTCTGTATCATGGAAGAGATATAATACAGGAAAAGCTCGCAAACGAAGCAATTCGTGCCAAGAAACGCACGATTGAACCAAGTGAACGATGTATCCCCTTCCTGATCTCTATACGCCGTGTCAGCCCGACAAATGGATCGACCCGGTACTCCTGAGAGCGTGGGTTCGCCTCGCAGACGTAAGGCTTTGAGGATACGTGTTTATGGTTGGCGGATCTTCGATACTGAAGCCCTGTCTTGTGTTGAAAAGAGAGCGATATCGATCAGTCTTGTACCATGGAAGGTAACAGCCGGTGTGCCTTACCTATTCGTCTGTATTCAGCATCAATAGGTCTCGGAATGAAGGGAGGAAGGTGTGCGTGTTTTGTCAAGTGAATGAAAACGATATCAGATTATGATTGACGGAGGGAGGCAAACAGTCGACGTACCTTCCATGTACAGTAACACCCGCCGAATGCACCTACCCCCACACGCCAATACCCCTGCTACCATCACTCCGGGATCTTCCTATACCAACTGAGGGGTATGAGGAAAACAACACGATTGTTCCTCTTCTGTCTGATATCCATGTTGATCTCCTAGCCGTAACGAGGTGCTTGGATTCGGTTGAGGAGCGATTAGACTGGACCCAAAGCGAAACTGTAAGAAATCTCTGTAGCATTCAGAATCACAGTCGGGGAACAGAGCAGTAGTGAAGGTAGACGTACCTTTCCCTCTTCGCCTAGGTCCACATCCCTCATCCAACCAAGATGGTATCGGAAACGGCACCCACAATCGATTAGAGAACCGTCCGTAAGAACAACGCGGATCAGATTCTAGGATGCAGCGACGGGTCTTCGCGAGAAAGGGATTGGAGTGAGCCATTGACCGTGACCTTCTTTCTGAACGAACTGGATGTTGGTATAGGACGATTGAGTCCGGTGGATAAGTGAGCTCGAGGGAAACAAGATCGCTGAGGGGAGACAGACTAATCAACGTCGTACCAGAGGAAGAAAAAAACGAGAAACGTAGGATTTCGAGTCACCATCGGCATTTGGATGGTGATGGTAAAGGAAAAAGAAGCTTCATTTCGGTGTCCGCCGGCAACTATGCCGTAGAGTTGCATAAGGGAGAAACGTAAAAGGATTGGGAACCCTATTCCGTTACAGGGAATCGAACCCTGGGCTATCGCGTCATGAAATAATAAATCAAAACCATGAGAGGCGATAATGTTAGCCACTACACCATAACGGATGGAGCAGATCTTAGCAATGTATCACCTCACGCTCACTCGATATCATACGGCAGGAAAGGTTCACGTCATTTTTGTACCTCAGTGCCTCCATAACGGTCTCCTTCGTTTCTCTCTTTCTCCATTCCACCGCCCATAATTCAACCAACGAACACACAGAGGAATCTCGATCAACAAATGAGAACGAACGTTACACAGTGATAACTTAGACTAAACGAGAACAACGCTAATTAAGGCAACTGCCGACGCAAGACCTTTCACGTACTTCCTCATTCGCAAAATATCATTCCGTTTTGAAAGGAAGGAATAAATATAACACAAACGTTTACCTTCCGGTTCTGTGCTGGGTGCCCCTAGATAAAGCAAACCGAGTACGTGTAAAAGAGTTGAACACAAGTAACGTTCCTTGCGGTTGGTACTACATCTACGATACGCTTCGAGGCGCTCAATATTCCTACGGACATGCGAACACCTTGCGAGTGAATTGCTGAGAAGTGAGCCGCGATGCGATGCTCTGAGTTGTTCACCGATGGAATCATTGTGCAGAACTTATGTTCTGTTCGCGTTATGGTATTTTCACACCGCCACTGATACCATCAACTTCGGGCTTAAACAGACCAACTCTCGCTTTGACCATCCATTTTGGGGACGCATACTATATTTGAACAAAACAGGTTACTCATACACTATTTTCCATTGATTTTCGTATATTTTCTATTTCAGAGATACCGCTCGTGCAATAATCTGGGCCAAGTAACTTATTAGTGATTCTGGTAACATGGATAATAATAGCTCACAAGTCTAGGCACCTTTGCTGCCACAGCCACGGCTAGTGCAACACTTGACCATTTTGCCGGTATCGACGCTGTTTCCAGCGGGACCAGCGTAAGGCCAGCATGCGTGCTCAACCTCATTGAAGTACGCCTTATGCTTGACAGCAGCGCAGCAGTCTTTGGTGACTTGGTAGTCCGTACCACCAGAGCCGTCCTTATTCTTTGTGCAGACCTCCGGACCACCTATAAAAGTAATTAGATAGGTCGATAGTTACAGGGAAAGGAATATTCCCATACCTGCAGCAACAAGGGAAGTAACTGCAAGAACGGTGGCAGCGATAGTAGTAGTTGAGAAGTGCATTGTGTCTTGTGAGAGTGCTAGTTTGATACCATTTTGTGACTACCTTCAACCTCTTTTATACTTGAACGACTTGACAAATTGGACAAGATGTGGGACGGGGAGCACGGAGTTTGACTTGACTCTCCACAGCGCTGTATCACCATTCAAAACCCCCGATAGCCTACCGTCAAAGTCAACCGTCATAGATGCTGAAATCGCAGGCGGGAGAACGTCTTGTCATCTTGGCCATGAGACATGATTTGACGCTTTTCGAGCCAAATTACTCGGGAGATGGTAAAGGTTGCTTTTTGGAACATTGAAATTGGCTATGGTTGGAGCGTTGCAGTAGGTGACCCGAGCGATTTGTTATACTTCACACTACCTGCAATGATACCCGTGATCGTGTCATGTCTGCGTTGGAGTCGAGGAGCTGATCGGGACAAAGAACTCGACAGTATTCTGCCGGAGAAGCATAAACTACATGCTGGTCTTATGATCTTTACGTGCATCTAGAGGTAATGTGGAACTGGTTACGGTGATCGGGATCCTGTCGAACGGAATATTGGAGTAAGATTGTTTAATTACACAATTAAGATTGAACAGGTATAAACAGACCAAGGTGACTTGAGCGCCCCGCGCAGTTTCTCGACCCACTTGGCATGCCGCTCATTCATCTGAGTGGTGCCCATCAAGGATCACTGTCAGAATTTTGTCGTCTCGTTAAATCTCATTCTAAGAAGTACCAGGTAATATCCTGATCTCATGGAGAATATCATGCAAGAATCTCAATTCCACTAGGCACTAGGTTCTCGGCTTCTCGAGGGGGAATTATACTTCAATATTTCTTCCCGTCCGTGGATCTCCTGATCTTCGTCCTGAGGATCACCGAATTTATTGAACCGGATGTCACTGACCATGATTCTATGTCTATCTATTATCAGACCATGCTTGGCAAGTGCCTCTGGTCTTAGCGCATTCACTGTGTGTAATAGACCTGTAACTGGCCCCTCACGCGACGAGCAAGCAGCCTAGTACATGACTTTTCATCGTCACTAGGGACCGGTTACAGGTCTATGTGTGTAATGTAAGGGGCCCTATGGGCATCCGAAAACACCACCTTGCAAGTGAATCATCGGAAAGCTCGCGGCGATCCGATGATCTGAATGATTCACCGATGAAATCATTGTGCACAACAAGTTGTATTGTTACGTTTTCTCACACGGGTTCAAATAACACAAGCCAGCGCCACACATACTATATTTGAACATAACACGTTGCTCGTACACTATTTTCTATTGATTTTCGTATAGTTTCCGCTTCTTCAGAGATACCGCTCGTACTATTGAACAGTCTAAGACAAGTATTTTATTAGCGATCTTGGGTACATCGATAAGAACTCCTTACAAGTTTAGACGGCTTTGCTGCCACAGCCACGGCTAGCGCAACACTTGACCATTTCGCCGGTATCGACGCTGTTTCCAGCAGGACCAGCATAAGGCCAGCATTGCTTCGCAACCTCGTTGAAGTACGCCTTATGCTTTACAGCAGCGCAGCAGTCTTTGGTGACTTGGTAATCTGTACCACCAGAGCCGTCCTTGTTCTTTGTGCAGATTTCTGGACCGCCTGAACAGATAGTCGAATGAGTCATTAACCGATGCAAGAGAAATCTGTGCGAGTCTTCGTACCTGCAGCAACGAGAGAAGTGACTGCAAGGATGGTAGCAGCGATAGTAGCAGTTGAGAAGTGCATTGTGAGTAAGTTGAGAGAATGCGAGTTGGATATTTTTCTCTGACTGCTTTACTACTTCTTTTATACCTGGCAGGGCTCTAAGTTTAGCTAGGGTGCGAACCGAGGAGCATGGAGCTCAAATCAGTACTGTACCGTAAGCTACAGCTCTGGATGAGTTACTTTTTGGGATAGTCAGACTAGCTATAGTTGGAGTGCGGCGTAGTCAACCCGAACTTTCGTTGTAATTGAAATTTTCAAGAAATGATATCCGTGATCGTATATTGTCTGCCGCATTGGTGTCGAAGAGATAATCGGGTTGGTTTACCAGACAATATACCACTTGAGAAACTCTAACTGTACGCTGGTCGTACAACCTTGACGTGGATCTAGAGGTAATTCGGGACTTGGGTATGATGATCGGGATCTTGTGAAACGGAATATTGGAGTGAGCCTCAAGTGAGCCTCATTCATTTGACCGTTGAGATCTTACTTTCCGTCAGCGGTGACGCACCTGGGACTAGCATGCACCTCAATAGTATTCTGAGATTCGAATGTTGAACTCACAGAAAAACGTCCTCATCACTATGCTCACAGAGTCAGCGCAGCGAGTGGAAGGATATGCCAGAAATAAAGAGAACAGTCTATTGTGAATTGCATCGAAAGTGGTGCATTCAGCGCTCGC